TGCATTGAAGGTCATCAAATATTGTTCCCAAGTGACTGGAATAGGCAGGGTGGCCTGCTTGAGTTGCCATCAACGGCCTGTCTCTCCCACCAACATGTAGGTGGCAAGTATGACTCTCTGTTCGGGAATCACCCCAAGAGTCGTAAAAGTCTTATCTGTCTCAACTAATCAGTACTCGGTCTCTTTAAAGGAGGATCTCTCCGTAAAAATAGATGGATTTAGTCTTTTATACCTCTCAATGTAGCCTGGGTCCATCATGGGAGGGACTGAGTTCCGTGGAAGAGGGACTGGATTGTGTTGGGGATGGACAGGATAGCCTAGTAATGGTACTAGATGATACGGTGGAGGCACCATATTGTACTGTGGTGGTACCGAGTGATGCGGTTGGAGCATCAGACTATATTGTGGTGGTGTTAGGTGATGCGGTTGGGGCACTAAACCATATTATGGTGATGCCGGATAGTACTATGGAGGAGCAAGGTCGTACCGGGGTGGCTCAAGATCTTTTCGCTGCAGGGTTGGCTTAAACTGTGGTAACGGCAGAGAGTCAGGTAGCTCTCTCCTTTCCTCCCAGGCCTATTGGGCAGCGATGAATCTCTCCAGTATTTCAAATAATCAGTCAACATCATCTCGAAGTGAACCCTTCCAAGCTGCTCAGTTTAGTAGGGGTCTTCCTCTCCTCATCTATCTGTACCTATATTTCACAATGAATAGTTGAGTGATAATTCATTTTTTAGTATTTTCTAGGATTTTTGTGTAAGGAATGGTTCCGAGAAACGTGGCTCTGATACCAACTGTAGCAGCCCGGAACTTAAAAGGAAATAGAATCATAAAATGAATGCGGCAGCGAAATAATAAAATTAGAGTTTACATTCTTTATACAATAATTTAGAATACTCAATAAGGTTACGGGAATTACCCTTCTAAAAGAACAACAAAAAATCAAAGAAATAAATGGAAAGTAAACAACTGGGCATCCTATTCGCAACCCTCCTATGGATCGGGATCTAAATCTTAGTCTTCTTGATCTGAAATGTTTAATGCAATAGTGAGCTACACTACCTCAGTAAGAATGTCACACTACTCACTGATACAGAAATGAAGATTGATAAAAATAATAAAAACAACTAATAGAACTCTTAAATTAAGTAAATTCATTTATCATAAATAAAATTATTTATTTCATACTTACTGTAGCGAGATTTTAAAAAACCGACGTGCAGAGATAATAACATAAACACCATCATAATCTCATATTCAATTAACCATAACTACAACTTTTTCTTTTTTATCTGGCTACTAGTATCCATTGGGGTCCATATGGATGTCTCTACTACGCGTGAACCTTTATTCAATATTGTCAACTAACTGGTCTTCTCTATATCTCGTCCGGTATGAGCACCAAATATATCATCCCTCAATACCCTATCCGGTATGAGAGTGAAACGGTTTGTCTCTATACCCGTCTGGTATGAGCATCAAAATACCAATTCTCGATACTCTATCCCATATGAGGCAACGTTTACGGTAGAGTTTCCTATGTACTCGGTCTGTCCACCATCTCCCAGATATTCAGTTAGGCTACCATTCATTCATTCACTTAATCAAGCAATTCTCCATTTACATTTAATTTTCAGTTCCATAATTTAACTGTAAATCACGCAAAACAAGCAATACATGCATCAATAAAATACAACTGAATCATTTTACTAACTACAGCATATTATTATATATTTAAAACTGTAAAATCAATCAATCATTTAAAACAGGATAAACAGTGATAAATAATCAGTTCCGCCTCTATTAGTAATCTGTAATTAATTATCAAGATTTTTTAAATTATGCAAAATACCGTATTATTTATAAGTAGACTAAAATTTCATAACAGGAAATAGGGTAAGGGATTCATACCTGAATCGGTGTCTGAAATACTAAACTCTCAACTGCGCCTACTAACGGTCCCTGAGTTTCTTAAATTTTTCTTCGAAGATTAAAACACGCTTCAAGTACCTAAAAATACCCTTAAAAATCCAAAATCGGTGTTAAAAATATTTTTCTAGACAATTTTGGAATTCTGGCATGGCAGCATCCGTCCTCCGATAACGGCACCACCGACGGACCTCAGACTGATTGTTTTTGGCCAGTTTTGGCCGATTTCAGTTGATTTTATACTCATCCCTACAAAAAAATATGTTAAGGGGACTCGATTGACAAAAAAAAATTAAAAAAAAAAACAAAAACTTACCAGCAATGGAGTTTTCTGGTGCGGCAGCTCCGCTGACTCACCTTTGCAGTTGGGTGTTTTTCTTCGGTCAACCTGTGGAAAACATAGTGGTGAATACAATAGTGGAAAAATCACACAAAACGGGAATCAGGAAGGGTTTCATCGGAAGTAGTTTTTTATTTTTCCTGTGGCGGTGCTGTCGGACTTTACCCGTAGTTTTCGGCTCATCCGCCAGTCATTTTACTTCGATTTGGCCATGGGAGTGTTCAAAATTAAATTTTGAGCGAATAAATTTTTTTTTACCTTTTTTTGCGGTCGAAGGTGGCTCCAGCGCGGCGACAGTCGGCGGTCGACTCCCTTCTTCGGCGACTAGTTCTTCTTATTCGACGGGAGGCTAGCGGCTAGGGTTAGAGTTTGATGTAAAGTGAGATATTTATACCCGTCTCCCTTTAATCTGGGTCGTTTATCGCGTTTGATCTCGATCGTCCGATCATATTTAAAGAAGAAATAAATCTAAACCGTTCATCGTGATTTGATCTGTACCGTATAATCGGGTTTAAAGAGGAAATGAATCTGAACCGTTCATCGCGTTTAATCGCGACCGTCCGATCGCGCCTGAGGAGGGAACGGATCTAGACCGTCCGATCACGGGCACGCGAATTGCCAGCGTGGCCTCCCGCGTGGTATTGAGTCAGCATGCCTTGTCACGCGGCGCGCTCCGGTTCGTCGGAGCTACTGACTGGGAGGTCCTACGTGGCACATTTTTTTTTAAATTACGTTTTGACTCCCAGTTTCTGATTTTTCTTTTAAAAACACCTCCCGAATCCAAATTTTCATCATTTTTTTCGCAAAATTATTTTTAATTTCATCTTTTACCTATTTTTTTCTAATTTTATATTAAATAAAAGTTTACAAATTTAAAGTTTATATTTTTTTATATATTAATTTAATTTTTTAAAATTAATCCTGTGCCAAATTTTCGCTCCTGGTTATTACATTCTAATATGGCTCCTCTTTATTTAATTCACTAAAATGTTTAATTTTAAATATTAATGGTCCCGAGACAATATTCTCAAATTAACAACAACTTACACCTAACATAATGAATTTATACCTAAAGATCTTTCTACAATTATGAGTAAATGATTAGAGAATATTGGATACCCATAAAAGAAATTGTTCTTCGCATTTCATACTCTTATCACTTACTCTCTCTTTTTTACATTATTTGAGCTTTAAAATAATATCGATATTATACTATTTTTATTTTAATATATTATTTATATTGAATATATTATCTATTAATTCACTAATCGCTTATCAGTTTTCTATCTAAGTTTGACATTTCTACTAATAGAATAAGAGGAAGCTAACTCTTGGTTGTAAACAAACTTTGACGTGCCATATTTGTAGTTTACGATATGGGAGGGGCTTACAGAAGAGTTTCATGGACGACACTATTCGAATAGAAGGAGAATGTCAATTTTTCATATCAACAAATATGAAGGATCCATGACACCTCAACCTTATACAACAACTCTGTTACTATTAGAATTAAATTTATTAAATTGGAAAATTTTTCAACTTCATTTGGATAATTGAATTGACTCGCTAAATAAATATAATATATGTTTGCTTGTAAATTTATCAAATAAATTCAACAAGTATCGCTTAAGGGCATATTTACACGAAATATGTTTAGTGTTAAATGCAAATAACATTCTTAATCGATCTAAATAATCGTCATTAGGTAATTCATGCTTTGTAACATGACTAATACACTTAAATTTTACATAAAAGCATACTTAAATTAAACAAGTTTTTACAAAGTATATTTATAAATCCTAACATTATAAACTTATGTTTATTCGTCAAACAATAAATAATTTGAAAACAATAATAAGTAAATAAACTAACTTCTATTTTAGTATTTTCTTTTTTGACTTGAACGTGTATAAAGTAACAATTACAAGTGCCACGTGTTATACTTTTTATTTTTTAAATTTAAATAATACTCCAAAATCTTAATATAATTTAATGAAAATAATTTTAATAGTATTGTAATTAGCAAAAGTCCACTTTGTCTTCAATTTGATAAGAAAATGCAATGAATTTATTATCTTTGTAATTTCTTAAATATCAAAAACTAAAATTTAAATAATGATTAAA